GTGAGTGCCTCGTGATTCTGGTGCCAAGCCGAGACATTGGCTTTGGCACACAGCTGCATGAGGAGGGGACATATCCACTTTTTGGAGGCCTTGGTGTGGGCTGTGTGTGTCACAGAGCCACATTTTTAGGGACAGACAGCTCACATACACCAAAATCCACTCTAATTCACATATTTCTCTATTTTATGAACAAGTTTAAGGCTTTCCTTAAGGTTTCTCAGATAGGTCTTGTACTTTTTTGGGGTGGAAACTGTGAATTGTATACAACACCAGGAGGAGTCTATATGATGCACCTCAGTAAGGGAGTGTGCACCTCAGTAGGGGAATGTGCACCTCTGTGGGGTAGTGTGTACCTCCTAGGGGAGTGTGCACATCTGTAGGGGAGTGTGCACCTCACTAGGAAAGTGTAAACCTCACTAGGAAAGTGTGCACCTCTGTAGAGGATTGTGCACCTCTGTAGGGGAGTGTGCACCTCTGTAGGGCAGTGTGCACCTCTGTAGGGTAGTGTGCCCCTCTGTAGTGGAGTGTGCACCTCAGTAAGGCAGTGTGCACCTCAGTAGGGGAGTGTGCACCTCTCTAGATGAGTGTGCACCTCTGTAGGGAATGTGCACTTCTGTAGTGGAGGGTGTACCTAAGTAGGGTAGTGTGCAACTCTGCAGGGCATTGTGCACCTCTGTAGAGGAGTGTGCAACTCTGTAGGGGAGTGTGCAGCTCTATAGAGAAGTGTGCACCTCAGTAGGGAGTGTGCACCTCTGTAGGGGAATGTGCAACTCTGTAGGGGAATGTGCAACTCTGTAGAGGAGTATGCACTTCTGTAGGCAATGTGTACTTCAGTAGGAGAGTGTGCACCTCTGTAGGGCAGTGTGCACCTCTTTAGGGGAGTGTGCACCTCTGAAGGAGGAGTGTGCACCTCTGTAGAGGAGTATGCACCTCTGAGGGGAGTGTGCACCTCTGTAGGGCTGTGCACATAACTGGAACACCCAAACCATAATGAGGAAAGAGCAAGAACTGTAAAAGTGCT